GTAGATCTTTAAGTAAGTTGAGAAAATAGACAAGTGAGAAGACATCATGAGAATAAAAGGAAAGGTTTGGTTTAAGAGATTAAATGAAAATTACTGCCTGCATGCTACATGTGAGGCGCTGGGCTTGGGCCTACAGAGTGCCTTTTAGGCTGCCATGGCCATGGGGTCTCAAGCCAGGCACCTGATTTCCTTATTCTTGACTTCATGCTGCCAAATGCAATGGCTAAAGATCACTGGCTCCACTATAAGTTTGTGTGCTCAACTCTGACAATCCTTTTAAGTTTTCTTTAGTAGTCCCTTTTTCACTCTAGACATGCCTGGCCTAGACCTTTCCCATTCTCTTCAATCCACTTGCTCACTCCCACCCTTCTTATTCTAAACAACAGATCTAGTGTCATACTTCACAGAATCATGAAAAGATATCTGGGGATAAAATTCTATAATATAAACCTCCTGCCTTGATATTTAAAGCTTTCCCTGTCCCAGCCTTCTATTTATTTATCAGATATCCCCAGTATCCATTTATTATTAAATAGTAAGTAACACTGAATACTTACTATACCCCAATTAGTATGTTACTCTAAATAAATAATTTCATTTTCTAGTGTGATGTTAGATTATAGATTCTTTGATGTTCATTGGGTTGTAAAAATAAATTGGTATACTCTAATTCATCCTCTCTTTTTTTATATATGAGGAAAGTAAAACCTGGAGAAGATTCTCAAGGTTCAATAAGAAGTCAGTGACAAAGTCCAAACTAAGACTCAAGTTCCATTATCATTATACTTTGTTAAGGAAGTTGGTTGCGCTGCCCAGTTGTGTCAATTTCTCTCTCTGCACAGCCTTAGAACTCTGTTTCCTGTACCTCTGAATTGGGTATCAACCTGAAGAGCAGTGGAATAACTGACAGTAAGCTGCAACCTGTGCTTTTGGTGATAGGGAAACAAAACTCCAATCAGAATGAAAACTGTTAAAACCTAGCATATAACAATAATGCCTAAAACATTTTCCATATTTATAAATCTCAGTCTCCATTTTCTGAACTCCCCAAGGCCAGTGTAGTTTCATGCCAGCTTGTCAAGTATCTGGACGCTATCTTTAAAACTCTTGCTATTCAAAAACAATATATCAGCATGAGTAGATTCAGAGCTCCTGCTGCATACAGTCAGAAGCAATGGGCACACCCTTGCGGGAGGACGATTTCACAAAGAGGTTATCAAGGTTGTAACTAAAGAGCTCTGACCACTCCTCCCTGGGTTATGGTTTAGCCTGGTTGTCTGTGGTCATGGATCCCACCCACTGAGCCTCACATCCTCTGAGATGAGATGACCCTGTTTTCAGATACAGCTATTGAAAGCAGATGTCATGTATAAATGATTCTCTACCTCCAAGAGATCGGAAATATCATTCTTTGGCTGCAGACTTATAAATCTTGAGTGATATTACGTAGATAATAGAATCAGAGATTCCTAGCTCTCTGAAACATAAAATGTTTTCCTTTTCCAAACTTTATCATGAAAATTTTCAAACATACAGATAAATTGAAAGAATAACACAATGAACACTTATATACCCACCATGAAATTCAACAAGCATTAATGTTGTGCCTACTGCTTTCTCTACATTTATTGTTTTAACACCTAAAAATTTCACTGAAGAAAACTACAAAAGAAGCTTACTCATATCCTCTGAAGGACCTCCCCGTCCCACTCCGTCATCCCTGCTACTGTTTGCGGATCTCTACAGGAGGAGAGTTTAAGCACTTTGTTTCGCTTTGAACTAGCATGACATTGAGCTCAAAGGCCTTGTTCTATCCAATTTCTTGGTCACTGCCTTGATATTTTAAGCTTTCCCTGTCCCAGCCTTCTATGTCTAGTCTTCACAGTTGCCTTTCATTTGCCTTATTCAGATGGATGAACTTTGCCATTGCCAAATTCTTCGTAATGATCTTGCCTGTGCCCCAGGATTCCACACAGCAAAAATCACCCCCTAGTAAAATGGGACTGGTGTGAACCTCAGCCTTGAAGATGCACCTTGCATAGAAGACCCAGGCCTGTTGCTCTTTAGGGACTTATTTTATCAATCAAGAACAAAGTCTGTATCTATAGATCTAATGAAAGCTGTTTCCATTTAATTTTTCTTTATCCTCTTTTGCTTTTCTTTTCCTGTGTGCTCTCAGGTGATCCCTACAGATCTTTATTCCCATCTTGCCAGTACCTAAGGAGCAGGACAGAATGGTGATGAAGAACAGTATCTTTGCTTTCAAACTGTTAAGTTTTCCTAAGCAGTAGCTGTGTAACTTTGTGCACAAGTTCCTTAGTTTCTTCATGTAAGATGGAAAAAACAATAGTGCCCACTTCGTAGGGCTAAAGTCTTTATTAAATGAGATAATATAAGCAAAATTCTGGCACAGTGACGAGTAAAAGCTAAGTCCTTTAATGAGTTCTAGCTACTGATATTAATACTATCACTATCTTGAGTGTTGTTTCACTGCGGCCACTATTGAACAGACACAAGATAGATTTCTTACTAGACTGTCAGCAATAGAGAAAGATGGGATGGGGGTGGGTAAGTAGGAGGAAAGGCTAAGTAGAGCTGAATCAACCCTAGCAATGGTAATTTTAATTGAATTCCTTTTGCTTATTTATTGCAAATGAACCTCCTGGAGTTGAGAAGGGAATATGTGATCTACATTAAATTTCCAGCCATGAAAAAAAAAGTTCCACTATTTATCAGTAAAAACTGGAATGAGACATTTATAAGTTTCCTGAAAAATCTTATCAATTTCAAATTCAGAATTAACAAGACAACTGATAGAACAATCACAATTAATGAGCCTTTTCTATCCAGAAGTGCTAATGTCACGCATGTCAGACGTGTTCACGAACCTGCATGTTTTGTCAACAGCTCTTGCTGGAAGTGGGGATGGGAGAGCGAGGATTTTTTACTGTCATGAGTTTGAGTTACAGCAATGGCGTCCAGTTGGTCTTAACGATAAGTATGAACAGTCATTAATTGTTTTTGTCTGATTATTGGCTTAATGATATAAAGAAGCCATATTTACCATTTACATTGGTCTTCTCTTTTCCCTCTCAATTCCAAAATCATTTGATTGTTGATTTTTCCATCCATTCGACTTTGTATGTGTGCATTCAGAACTCACTGACAACCTTTACTGAGTTTATTTACCATGTAGTTGTTTTGTCAGTACTGAGTATACAAAAGAAAATACAACTTAATCTCTGCTCTAAAGGTGGATGTTCCAAGGAAACAGGAAGAGCTCAGGATAATTTCTGCACAATTGCTGTGAAGATGAAATGATTTGCTGGACAAAATGCATCCAGCACTGGGCCTGGTGCTTAGCCAGAACTTGTCACCTGCCAGTCCTCTCCCTTCTCATTCACCATTGAGTGGGTGACAATTTCTATGCCTCCTTCTGCCTTCTTCAGGATTCTGACCTCGCTGTGTGCTTAGCTCTTAAAGTGAACTGCAACCTCTTTTCATCCCTCATCTCTCCCACTGCCCACATGGTCACCCTCTCATCAAGGTCTCTGTGATGCCATATGTTTTGTATTTGATTCCAAGTAATAAGTTTAGCACAATTTATCTGCTGACACAATTCTTTCCATTAGTGCTTTCACAATTCACCACTTTGGTGGAATCTTTGCAGACACTGCCAGTCAACTTATTTTCTCTCTCTGCTATTTCTCTATTTCCTAAGGCACGTATGTGAGCAGTGCCTGTATCCAATTCATCTCTTTACTTCCAGTGGCTGACACAGAATACAAACATGCTGTCTCTGCCCATCCCCGTCTCTCCCCTGATAGCCAAATGCCATTTTCTCTAAAAATATGATCATCAAACAAAGAAGCTGGTTTATAAGAATCTAAGACAATGTGCCAGTCAGATACATTGAATGTCATCAAAGTGAGATATAACAGATAAGAAAAATGTGGGAATGAGAAGCATCCCAGTGTAGTGGTTAAGAGCTGTGGCTCTGAACTCAGATCTGAGTTCAAATCCTACCTTCCCAGCTTACTTTCTGGTGATCTTAGGTAAGTTGCATCAGCCTCAGTTTCTTCATTTGAAACTAAGATCATAACAGTTTCTAAATTATGAAGTTGTTGTAAGGATTAACTATAATGATGCATGGACAGCACTTAGCTCAACGTATGACTCCCAACGTGTTCAATAAATAAATAATAGTACTATTATTATCACTGTTATTATGATAAGGTAAGTACATATTTACATAAAACAGAGTAGATCAGAGGCAATAGAACATTTCAGAATTTAGAGTTTCTTCTTGATAATGCAGAGGAATCCTTTACATTGTAATGTTTTCAGAGTAAAATAGTTATCTTTTTTTCAGGAAACCATCTATTGCTTCTAATACAAAATAAACTTTAAAAGAAGAGACCGTCTTATTTTACAATTCATCCTCACCCCAAGAGCAGAACATCACAATTCTTTTCTGACTCAAAAGTACATTTAATAGTGTAAATTCATTATTAATAAACACGAGATAACGACTTTATTTATTTGCAAGTCTGATTGCTCCTTGGAGGGTGAGAGGGCACAGAAAGCCTTCCTGTCGTCAGAGGACCAGACCCAGTTCACGCAGCTTAGGAGCAATTTATGAAACAGAGCATCTGCCTCGTTCAAACAAGTATTTGGCATTCACAATTTTTTTTTCCATTGTAAGGAAAGCTTCCATTTTAGCTATTTTGATATTGTTGATCCATACTCCTTAAAAAAAGCAGCTTTAGGATCAGCAGCTGACATTAGAAGATAATTTAGAAAAACTTAGTCTTAGCTGGGGCTAAGTCTCTTTGCAAACATTCTCCCTTAAGCTCTCAGATGTCTACCGGATAGGAGGTTTAACTGCTTATCACAGAATTGAAGGAGGAGTAAGGAAATCACCGCAATATTGCTTTCTAATAAAAAGCGAAAACAATCTTGTCCAGGAAAAGTTCAGTTTTGAAACGGATGCTACAGACCTGAGGCCATAGAGGACCGTCCCATCCGGATGCAGGCGGATCATGCGGTTCTTGACGGTCACTCCATGCACAAACGACTTCTTATCGTTCAGGAAGTAGGTATCTGGCACCCAGAGCTGGTCTGCCACTCTATTGTCCAGAGTCAAGTTTAGAGGTATTACATTATACGACAGCCTCTTATCTCTCCAGGCTTGCTGAAAGTACATTGTCAACGTATAATCCTGTGAATGTTAGAAGAAAATGGTTATTTTGTACTGAAACAGATTTGGGAGCTAGGCAAATGCCTCATATTCATAAAAAGAAGAAAATACATACAGCCACACACTATAAACATACACCATTCACATACAGGCAAATATGAATTTACTAAACCCATTTTTACCGAGTACCTACCATGTTTCAGGCACAATTTATTTGTAGGCACTGTACATACGGAAGTGAAGAGAACATATCCTTGTGAATTAATATATATTATTCAGGAAGAAAGACGGTAAGGAATAATTACTTAATAATTAGTTCATCTTTCCCAAAGTGAGGTACACAGGATTGTTTTCAGGTGGGAATAAATCTATTGTAAAAAGTGGTTAATTTGTTGCAATAGTAATTTTAAGAGATTGTCAGTGAGAATCCTAACTGGTCAAACCAAGGTGAGTTTCCCAGGAGAGGTGACGTTTACAGTGAGACTTATGTAGGTTCCCAGCTATCTAAATAATCTTAGCTCAGTCAGTACTTCACAAGAATTTTAATCCCAGGATTATGCACCAGCAGGCCAGCCTCTGAGCTTTTGAGAAGCAGTGGGCTGCTAAAAAGTGAGCACTGGCCTTGGAGCTCCAGCGCCAGCATTTTTCAACTGTCTCTAGGATTAAATTTGTACAACTTCTTTTCATTTCAGTTCCATTAACTATAAAAAGAGCTTTTAATACACGCCTAACCTAACCAAAGATTATTATGCCAATTAAATGTATAACTCAAATGCAATTTGTGAACTACAAAAAGCTACATATTACAATTAAAGCATTTACATATATATTGTGACATGTTTTATCCATTGGAGGCCTATGGGTACAATGTAATTGCTCTCCCACCCTCATTTGAATGACTAAATGAAGGACCAAACATTCATTTGAAAAATATAATTACCTTTCTACTTAAAAATGAGTTTACAATGCCCTACTTGAGGGTTTTTAAAAAAACTAAAATCATGTGGTAATCATCTCTGCAACTTGAGAGATAGCACAGCCCTAGGGCACAAACAGTGAATGAACGAATGAATCAATAAACATCCAATAAGGTATGCCTATTGCATTTCTGCACATATTTGCATACTTTTGTGCATAAGATACACACTTCAGTCTCTGAAATGCTTGAGTTTTTCCAGCCCTTGTTGAGATTTATACATCATAATTTGGTTATGTAATTTTCAAATACAACTTGTAAGATATTATCTGCTAAAAAAAGTTGAGCAGTTTTCATAGGAAAAGTACAATCTCTCACCAAAAAAAATTTAAATATTTTCCCTGGTTTCACAAATATACAAATTTTGACCTCATTCAGAAGTCAGTGTAGGGCGGGCTTCTGAATGAGAAGTGTAGAATCCAATTTCTAGTCTAACAGCAAATATATTAACATCCTCAAATAATTGTATTATTTATTTATTTATTTATTTATTAAATATATTAACATATCAAATAATTGTAGGTGAAATTTACTTTAGCGGATCACTCTAGTCAGTACTCTGGACTGTTTTGCAACGCTCTGATTTAGTAAAGAATTAGTCTTAGGATCTCTAGAATAGCATCTTGATTTATAATAAAAGCAACCTTGAAGACTTATGAATTATGTAACCAGAAAACAGAAAAAGGACCAGATACATTTTCTGAATGTGTCTATGTTACAAATAGCCTAAAATGTAGGACATACGTAAAGCAGTCAATTTATATTGTGCTTGAGAGAACACATTTTGTGATTTCCAGTTCTTGGAGATGAAATGGAAAATTTGATTATTATTTCCATTAGAAGACAAAGCTCCTTAAGCTTCTTGGATAATAAGCCCTCTTAAGATTTAGGGGAGATAAAACTGCTTGGAAGGTGCTGGAGTTTATCAGTCAGCTGAGATGTGTTTGGACACAGGAAATTGTATTCTCTTCTGGGCTAAATAAATGGTAATATTGTGAGATCCTGTGTCATGTGCTAAGTCCTTTTATTTGTCAGCAAGGAATGCCTAGTAAGAAATTCTCCTAAATAGACCCTGTTGATTCTGCTAACTGTCGCATCAATTTTCATTTCATTTATTTGTAAATGACACATCATGACACTTTCAAGAATGGAAGAAATTCTTGAATCTAAATAAATGTTCTTGGACTTAAAAGAAAAAGTGGATCTGTGTTCTACCCTCTCTCCAAGGCCTCCATCCACCCAAGATAAATCCTTTGAACTTTCATATAGAAAGTATATCCATCATATTAAACAATCCCACCTTTGGGAAGCTGTCTCATAATTGGTTTATTCAAACTGAAAAAAAAAACCCAAACCAATAATCCACTTCTGGGGGCTCCACAATCCATGGCATCACCATCCCAGAAGGACTTAGATAATCACAACTAAAACCAATTGACTCTCAGTGCTGAATAAGATGGGGTAAGCCCACTATAGGCTCTCTCTCCCACTGATTACAACCGAACAACCTGGAAAGACTTAAAAAATAAAATAAAACTAGGGGCTGGCCTTGTGGCATAGTGGTTAAGTTTGCATGCTCCACTTTGGCAGCCCAAGGTTCGCTGGTTTGGATCCTGGGTGCGGACCTACACACTGCTTATCAAGCCAATATGTGGCAGGCATCCCACATATAAAATAGAGGAAGATGGGCAGAGATGTTAGCTCAGGGCTAATCTTCCTAAAAAAAACCCAAAAAACAGCTATGTAAGGACTGTGACAAGTAAAAAATAGGCAGATTGGGGAAGGGATCAAAACCTGAAGAAAGACCATTCCATTGGTAAGTTTATTGTTTGTTTTACTTTTTTCCTCTCTCTTTTATCTCCTTAACACACACACACAGCCAAAAGCATAAATAAATAAAGAGGTAGACCATGTTCCTGGCTTTGAAAAGTGAGGCTTATTAAGATGTCAATTCCCCCCAAATTGATCTATAGATAAAATTCAATCCCAATCAATATCTAAGCAGGAATTTTTGTAGATATGCACAAGCTAATTCTAAAATTTATGTGAAAGCAAAGGAACATGAATAGACAAAATAATTTTGAAAGAGAAGAGCAAAGTTGCAGGACTCACACTACCTGATTTCAAGCTAACCTAAGATAGTGTGGTAGTATGATATTGATGGAAACATAGATCAATGAAATAGAAAAACCTAAAAACAAACCCATACAAATATGCACAAAGATTTCTTACAAATGTACAAAGGCAATACATTGGAGAAAGCATAATCTTTTTAACAAATCATCTGGATCACCTGGAACATCTATACATAAATAAGTAAATAAATAAATATCTCGTCTAGACTTAAATGTAAAATGTAAAACTATAAAACTTTGAGAAGAAAACTTAGGAGAAATTCTCTGTGACCCTGGGTTAGGCAAAGACTTCCTAGGTACAAACAAAAAAGCACAAGCAATAAAAAAAAAAAAAATTTGATAAATTTGACCTTAACAAAATTTAAAACTTTTGCTCCAGGAAAGACACTCTTAAGACAGTGAAAAGACAAACCATAGACTGGGAGAAAACATCTGCAAATCATGTATCTGACAAAGGACAGGTCTTAAGAATATATAAGTGTATAAAGAATTCTCAAAAGTCAACAAACAACCGCATAAAAAATAGGCAAAAGATGTGAACAGACACTTAACCCATGAAGATATATAAATGGCAAATAAACACATAAAATGATGCACATCATTAGCCATTATGGAAAATCAAATTAAAAACTAAAATGAGATCATACTATACACTCATTAGAAAAGCTAAAATAGAAACATTAAAAAACAACTGAAAATTCCAAGTGCTGGTGAGGAAGCAGAACAACTGAAACTCTTATACACTGCAGGCAGGAAGGCAAATTATTAGCCACTAGGAAAACAGTTTGACAGTTTCTTATGAAGCTTATATCCATTTGACATATGACCTAGGAGTCCTGTTCCTGTGCACAAACATTTACAGTAGCTCTATACTAATTGGCAAGACTGGAAGCCATCTGGATGAACGCGCTTCAGCAGAGGAAGAGATAAACTGTGGTGCATCCATGAAATAGAATGCTACTGAGCAACAAGAAAGAATAAACTATCGATACATTAAACATCACCAATGGCTTTCAAATACAGAAAGTTAAGTAAAAGAGGCCAGATTCAAAAGGATACACATTATTTGATTCCATTTATATGACATTCTGTACAAGGTAAAACTATAGTGACAAAGACCAGATTAGTGGTTCTCTGGGATCCGAGATGGGGGAGAGGTTGGCTGCAGAGAGTAGCTTGAGGGAATGATTTTGGGCTACAGAACTGATCTGCATCTTAATTGCAGTGGTGGTTTCAGGACTTTAGGCATTTGTCAAACTCATAGAACTCCACCAAAATGAGCGCATTTTTCTGTATGTAAATTAAAAAAATAAAATTTAAAACTGCTTTTAAATAAAACATGGTCTCTAGGGTCAGATACACGCAGGTTCACATCCTGGTACTTTGATTGTCCCTCTTCTCGTGACCTTGGGTGAATCCTCTCAAGTCTCTGCTCCTGTTTCCAACGCAAAAGATCAATTAAAGCTAATTAACTTAGGAAGTGGGGAAACAAGAACTGCTTTGACATCTGGCTGAAAAAAGCAGAGTGATGCTACAAAATAAGTCTCCTCTGTGCATACAGGGGGGCATATGGCCCCACCAGGATGGGCTGACAAGACTATCACTCAATGGTTATAGGCTCACAATTCCCTATTTGTACTATGAGGCAATTGGACTAGACAGTGTCCAAGGCCACCTCTAGGAATAACATAACCCCATTCTAAGAAATGCTTTGCTGGCTTTATGTTCAAATGTCTCTTGTCATTTTGAAATCTTCTAAATGTCTGAAATACTTTCTTATATTTGATTTTTGCTGTCTTTGTAATTTCTTTTCTAATACCAAGATTCAAACTTTTCCTGTTTAGTTGGCTTAGTGTTCCAGAAAATAGTATGAAATAATTTGTGTGTATATGTGTGTCTTACATTTTTTA